TGTGTGTGAGTGTGAGTGGGGGAGAGGTTGTGTGTGAGTGTGAGTGTGTGTGTGTGTGGGGGAGAGGTTGTGTGTGAGTGTGAGTGTGTGTGGGGGAGAGGTTGTGTGTGAGTGTGAGTGTGTGTGTCTAGCTGACTGTGCCTGATGATTTTGTGTAATTTGCTGTCTCCCTCACAGTGAAAGACCCACACGGTGTGTGTGTGCAGGATGGACGGACAGCAGGAAGAGGAGCCGTCGGTCCGCTTGTTTCGGGAATACCTGAGGATCCAGACTGTCCACCCTCAGCCAGACTATGGTAAGGTGGATAGACAACACCACGGTGTGATCTGCCACTGTGCTGTGGCAATTTGCCTGCAGCAGTTTGTACCTAATGGGGCAATACTTAACATAAGGAAAACAGAAAGTGCTGGAGAAACTCAGCAGGTCTGGCACCATCTGTGGGGAGAAAGAAGAGTTAACATTTCGAGTCCAGTATGACTTGACGAGAATGAATTCTGACGAAGAGTTGTGAAGAGTTGATCCAATTTTTTTTTTTTTTGAAGACTAACCAGGATTTTGCTGAGGTTCCTCACAACAGAATGGCCAAGAAGCTGAGCGATCATGTGATCAAGGCAAAGTGGTACACTGGATCCAGAATTGGCTGAGAGGCAGGAAATGGAGGGCAACGATAGGGGGATACTTGTGTGACTTGAAGTTGGTTTCGATTGAGATTCCACAGGGTTCAGTCCTGGGACCCTTGTTTGTGGTGTATGGTAATGATTTCAGCTTAAATCTAGGGGGTATGATCAAGAGTTTGTGGATAACACAGAAACTGGTTGCATGGTAAACAATGAGGAGGATAGCCCTCAATTGCAGGAGAAGATCAGCAGACTGGTCAGCCCACTAGACAGAAAAAGATTGTTACGTTTTCCCAGAGCTAGTGTCCCAACGTTTTTCACTGCCTCTGATGGTACAAGGTTGTGAACAAATTCAAAAAATAAACACAGTTTTCACATATTTACTGCATCGCTGTTTTCATTTTGCTTTGACATAGAGCATGCTAGACAGTAAGAGGGGCTTTACGCATAGGCTACCCTAGCTATATCGAAACTCAGCTTAATGCAGATTTGTGAGCGGGCCCCCATGATTCAAATTCTTATCTTTTTAATGTAAATGCTTATCCAACCAATGATATTGTAACTCGTGTTCGAGTTAATCTTTTGGAGTGTTGGGAATTTAATAACTGGGGACATGTATTTCTGATTCCTGTCACTGTAAATAAATCCACTTACTCAGTCTGGAGCTCCAGGCTTCTTAGCTCTTTGTAATGATGAGGAAGATTGTGGGCCCTTTTGTGTACAGTATCTTTGCAAGGTCAGATAATTGCAAGACTGCCCTTTAGGCACAGCACCAGCAGTGAACTGTTCAATTGGAGGGCTGGGGAGGGGGGGAGGCCTGTTTGGATTGACCGTGTCTCAATGTACTGGAATAACACCTTCCTGTTTCTATAACCAGTGATTTCCCTTACCAAGCAAAGATCGCCTGCCTGAAATTGACCACTGTTTGGTTAGCCCCTCACCCAGCACAGCCAGCAACTTTTTAATGGTGGGTGGGGACTTTGGTTCGATTTATTATCGTCACATGTACCGAGATACAGTGAAAAGTATTGTTTCCCGCGCTATCCAGACAGATCGTACCTTGCGTAAGTACATCAGGGCCATAGAACAGCAGAATGTAGTTTTACAGCTACAGAGAAAGATCAGCTGTAATATATGAGAGGTCCAGTCATAGGTCCGATAACAGCAGAGAAGAAGCTGCTCTTAAATCTGCTGGTGCGTGTTTTCAAACTTTTCTATCCTCTGCCTGATGGAAGAGAGTATAACCGGGGTGGGAGGGGTGGTTGATTATGTTGGTTGCTTTCCCGAGGCAGTGGGAAGTGTAGACAGAGTCAATGGAAGGAAGGCTGGTTTTCATCATGGACGGGGCTGCGCTTACACCTCTCTGTAATTTCTTGTGGCCTTGGGCAGAGCAGTTGCTACTCAAAGCTATGATACATCTGAATATTACATCTGTATTTTATGGTGCCTCTATAAAAATTGCTAAGAGTCATTGTGGACATGCCGAATTTCCTTTGCCTTCTGAGGAAGTAAAGACGTTGGTGTGGATGGACCAGGATAGATTGTTGGCGATATTTACTCTTAGGAACTTGAAGCTCTCAATCACCTACACCTCAGCACCATTGATACAGACAGGAGCGTGTCCTCCACTGTGATTTCTGAAGTCGATGACCAACCCCTTCGCTTCCCAGATATTGAGGGAGAGGTTGTGGTCTTTGCTCCATGCTTCCAATCTCTTTCCTGTGTTGTCTCACATTGGTTTTTAAGGTCCGACCCACTGTGGTGGTTTCGTCAGCAAATTTGTAAATGGAGGGTGACGTGAGGGCCGCGAGATGCCTGGATGAACACAGCTCCAATAACATTCAAGAAGTTCAATAATTTCCAAGACAAAGCAGCCCCACCTTTCATATTCACCCCCTCCACTGCCAATATACAGTCACAGTAGTGTGTGCCATCTGCTGGTTTTAAGCTGCCGATTAGTCAGCACTGTGGAGGGAGTTTCGTAACTATTGCAGAAATCTATTACTGTGGGGTCAAATGTTATTCAGACTAGGTAGACATTAACGATATACAGGTCAAAATGTCAGCTCTTCCATGAAGGCTGGAAGAGGGAGCCATCTCTGAGCGATCACATGAACTTACATAGCACCCCCAAAATGATACAGGCTACTAATTCACATAACCACATTAACCCACATTACATCTCCCCTAAGTCTCTGACTCTAGCCATTATCTGTTGTCTCGGTGGTTACAAGTCTTCACCGTAATTAGTCAATGGTCCACATGCATTTGGAAATGCGGGGACTGATTACGGACAGTCAGCATGGCTTTGTGTGTGGGAAATCATGTCTCGCAAACTTGATGGAGTTTTTTTGAAGAGGTGGCCAAGAAAATAGATGAAGGCAGAGCAATAAACGTTGTCTACATGGACTTTAGCAAAGCCTTCGAAAAGGTTCCACATGGTAGACTGTAAGATTAGGTCGCATAGGAACTGAGGAGAGCTGGCCAATTGGATACAAAATTGGTTTGAAGATAGGAGAGGGTGGTGGTGGTGGAGGGTTGTTGTTCAGACTAGAGGCCTGTGACCAGCGGTTTGCCACAAGGATTGGTGCTGGGTCCACTGTTGTTTGTCATTGATATAACCAATTTGGATGTGAAGTTAGGAGGCATGGTTAGTAGGTTTGCAGATGTGGTATAGTGGACAATACAAGAAGGTTATCTAAGATTACAATGGGATCTTGATCATTCTGAGACTTAAACAAGGTCGTACACATGGACCATGTGTTACGTTTTGTTTTATGGGGAACGGCTGTGTGGAAACACAGTGGAATCCCACTCACGTTGACTATTGTGTCACTGTACAGGTGGGTCAGTGCAGGTTCATTTGTAAAACACCCAGATCTCACCCCACCCCCCCCCCACCCCGCCCAGCCTGGCTTTAATTCTACCCTCTTGATCTTATACCATTCCTCTATTTTGCAGTATAACAGTGCTATTCTCAATACTTAGTCTGTTTGTGGACATTGAAGGATTCACTGAGCGTGTTTTTTTTTCCCCAGATGGTGCTATTAAGTTCCTGGAGAGGATGAGTGTGGAGCTGGACCTACCCTTAAAAAAGATTGAGGTGAGAGATTGCTTTTATAGATGGGGCTCTGCAACACCAGGACTGGCTTACAATTTGAAAAAAAGTCTCAATTTATATTAATCCTGTAAAGGGGTGGGGAGGAAACAGGAGGAATAAGAATAAACAGAGGTGTGACTGTCTTTTATTTCAGTGATATTTTTGTGGAGTTCTCAGTTGAGTTTCTTTGTCCAGTCTGGTATACATGGTAAGCTGGATTGCAGTAGATATCTGTAAAAAGAGAGGATAGAGATAGTGCCTCTGAAAGTCTCCTCCAGGGGCTGTCACTGCCAACAGTGAGAGAGACTGGGCACTACTCCTGGACTGAGCTCAGCCCATGTGTGCAATGTCTCAGGGAGACTGCGCACTGACACTCAGAGGGGAGAGCAGAGAGTGGCCTTGGGTTAACTGGGCAGTTTCACTCTTAGTGGGCACGATGGGAAGTGACTTGTGTCAACCCTACAGCTGAAATGAATTGGCACAAACAGGAGCTGGCATTTGGTGTGAGCTGGAGTGTATGGGAACGTTCCTCAGATGTGTCTGACATTCTACTTTCCCCTGTGGTACTGGAATTTTAAAGGCCGTGAAATGATGTTGTCAGTCTATGATTAATGGATTAAGGGAAAAAAGCAACTGTGCCGTAACCCGCAGTCGTTTTTAAAGCCCTGGTCCGACGCTGTAAGGAATCTGGGAGTCAGGAATCCCTGAGTTGGATCCCAGATACCATTTCTAATGGACCCCAGAGTCAATCTGACTCAGTGAAAATCTGAGCCCCTCCCTTCTCCTCCTGGTTCTACCACTGCCACTTGAGTTAGGTTCACATTGTGTTCCTTTATCGGCAAATCACTGGAGGTCTGATTGAGTGACTGTTCAATTTATAGGGAAGAAACAGTTCGTCTCTCTGCACTTTTGCAATTTCACTCATTGGAAGAGGTTAAGATGCATTTGGCCCTCCCCGATGAATATGATATAATCATTCGACCACTCACTTTGCAGTGCCTTTGCCGTTTGTACTACACTGCGTACACAGTTCCTTGTCAGGTAGAATGATCTCAGACCTTTGGCTGCTCTCACCTCAGCGTTCTGCATCCTCTCTGCAGACTTCAGTTCATCTGAATCCTTGCTGCGTTGTATTTTATTTTTTCGTTCATGGGATTGTGGGCATCACTGGCTGGGTCAGCATTTATTGCCCGACCCTAATTGCCCCCTGAATAGGTAGTGGTGAGCTGCCTCCTTGATCCACTGCAGGCCCCCTGCGATTGGTATGACTGAGTGGCTTGCTAGGCCATTTCAGAAAGTCAGCCACATTGCTGTGGGTCTGGAGTCACATGTAAGCCAGACTGGGGTGAGGGTGGCAGATTTCCTTCCTTGGAGGACATTAGTGAAGCAAATGGGTCTTTCCAACATTCAACAATGAACCCGTGATTCAGTAGACACTTAATTCCAAATTCTTTATTGAATTCAAATTCCGCCATCTTCCTTGGCGGGATTTGAACTGGAGTCGACAGAACCTTAGCTGTGTTTCTGGGATTAATACTCTGGCGATAACACCACTAGGCCATCACCTCCCTGCTCTATCACCTGTGCCCTGTGCTGTGCCAGTCCTTCATATTCATCATCATGGGCCTCAGTGAATGCCATTGAATCCTGGTTGCCTGACAATTTGGAATCCTCACCCTTACATCTAAACTTCTCCTCAGTCTCAGCCCTTCCTCGCTCTCTCTCTCTGTCTGTCTCTCTCTGTCTGTCTCTCTCTGTCTGTCTCT